AAGAAAGAAAGAAAGAAAGAAAGAAAGAAAGAAAGAAAGAAAGAAAGAAAGCAGTCCCAACGGTGCTTTGTTTTTCAGCAGGCAACTGGACATTCTGGTTGTTTTTCTTTGAAGATGTTTCGCTTCTTATCCAAGAAGCTTCTTCAGCTCTGGCTTTCCATTCCCCACCATCCAGTCAGAGCCAAAGAAGCTTCTTGGATGAGAATCAAAACGTCTTCAAAGAAAAAAAAACCAGAAAGTCCAGTGGCCTCTTGAAAAAGCACCTTTGGGATAGAGGAAGGAAATGATGGATGGATGGATGGATGGATGGATGGACGGGAGGGAGGGAGGGAAGGAAGGAAGGAAGGAAGGAAGGAAGGAAGGAAGGAAAGTCTATCCATCTTAAAGTCCTGAAGATGCATTTTCAAGAGGCAACTGGACTCTCAAGAGCTGAAAAAGCTTCTTGGATGAGAAGCGAAATGTCTTCAAAGAAAAACCAGAAAGTCCAGTTGCCTCTTGAAAAAAAAAACACATTTGGGACAACCAGGACCTTGAGGACAGAGATTCTCTACAAAGAGAGAAACCCTGCCAAAGATTGGGAATACGGTGAGTTGTAAAACTTGATGATCAAAAGGGGAACAAAATCGCTGATATATATTTCCAAAGCCGGTATAATGTCCACCTCTCCTTCCTGCCAATTGTGGAGAGGGCTGCATCAAGACCATAAATAAATCTACAATATTCAGGGAAACCAGCATTTTGTGCCGCTCTGCATTCAGGTGGGTGCCAATTCCTTACCTCGCCATCCAAATTCGTTATACCCCTATAAATATTCTAAACACAGGGAGGGTTTAAATGTTTAAAAGTGATTTATTCAAGCTTACGTATTTCATCACATAGTAATAAATCTCCCGGCAGGAGGCAGAATATTTGCCAAAGTTAAGGTCACGTTTTTCCCCTCCTCCCACCATTTCTCACTCACTGTCATTTTCAGGGAGGGGAATTCTCGATAGCGATAGAGAACAGTTGGACTGATTTAGACATATGGCCCACGAGGAAGTTGGTTATGAATTTATACACCTTTAGTTGCAAATTACGGAGTAAATGAAGAGGAGGCAGAGAGGAGGAGGATGGCAGTAATGAAAGCAATGAACACCTGCAATTTGTAGAGATTCCAGATTTACCCTCTAGAAGGTGACCGAACAGCGGGCTTCAAACATTAATCATTAACTCTGCTCAACGGCAGCCGAAGCCAGAATAGCGCAGGGGTAAAAAATAAAATGGAGTGGAGTCAACAATTACTAAACTGAGATACCTTCCTCCAATCGGTGGACCAAGGGAACACAAATAAGGTATATGGCTAGTAAAATCAATGAAGAATTGTAGCTATCATGCTGCGGCGGTGAAGATGCTGGCCTAGAGACCAGGAGAGGGAGTTCTAGTCCCATTCTTAGGCACGAATCAATGAAAAAATGTAGTTATAATAGAGCAATATTGAAGGTGCTGGCTTAGAGACCAGG